TTCAAGTTGTATAGCTAATGTTTTGATTTTGTCCCTTTCTTCTTTTTTGATGTGTGCATCTGTTGCTATAAATTGACCTCTAAGCACTGCCTTTGCTGTTTCCCAAAGATTTTGGTATGATGTGTTTTCATTCTCATTTGATTCTAGGAATTTTTTGATTCCATCTTTGATTTCTTCTATTACCCAGTGGTTTTTAAACAGGGTGTTATTCAGTTTACATGTATTTGATTTTTTTCCTTGCTCTTCCTGTTATTAATTTCTACTTTTATGGCAGTGTGATCAGAGAAGATGTTTTGTATTATTTCAATGTTTTGGATTTTGTTGAGGGTTGCTTTGTGTCTTAAGATGTGGTCTATTCAGGAGAACATTCCATGTGCATTGGAAAAGAATGTGTTCCTTGCTGCTGTTGGGTGGAGTGTGCTATGTACGTCTATGAGGTCAAGTTCATTGATTGTGGCCCTTAGATTTTCTGTATCTTTATTGAATTTCTTCTAGATGTTCTGTCCTGTACCGAGAGTGGTGTGTTGAAGCCTCCTACCATTATTGTGGAGCTGTCAATTTCTCTTTTCAGTGCTGTTAGAGTTTGTTTTATGTATTCTGAAGCCCTGTCATTGGGTGCGGAGATATATATTATGATTATGTCCCCATAGTGGATTGTCCCTTTAATCATTATGATATATGTCCTTCCTTGTCTTTTATGGTGGATTTTGTTTTAAAGTCTATTTTATCTGAGATTAGTATTGTCACTCCTGCTCTTTTTTGGTTATACTGTTTGCTCGATATATTTTTTCCCATCATTTGATTTTTAATTTATTTATGTCTTTGCTTCTAAGGTGTGTCTCTTGTAGACAGCATATTGATGGGTCCTGTTTTTTTATGCATTCTCTCATTCTCTATCTCTTTATGGGTGCATTTAAACCATTTACATTCATTGTGATTATTGATAGGTGTGGGTTTATTGCTGTCATTTTGTAGTGCTTTTTGTTGTGGTGCTGACATTTTCTTTGTTCCTCTTACTCTCCTGTGCTGAATTCCTTCTGTTTGTGGATATTTTTTTCTTTCTTTTGTTGTTGCATATTTTATGTTTACTGAGACTTTATGCTTTTCTTCTTTATTTTGAGGAGTAGGTTTGTTAACTTTCTTTGTGGTTACCTTGAAGTTTACCCCTACCTTCCTAAGTTTAAACCAGTCTTTTATTACTTGATATCACCTTGACTTCCTCTCCATTTGAAAGTTCTATACCTACACCATTTATTCCCTCTTTCATTGTTCTGATGTTGTTGTCATTTACAGATTGATGTCTCTGGTTCCCTGTTGTAAATCTTCTAGTTTTGTTTTATCCTTGAAAGTTCATTACCTATGTTGGTATCTGGCTGATGCTGCCCTGTGTCCTAGATTCAGGTTGTTGTCTGATGTTGTTTGTTCTCTAACCAAAGGAATCCCTTTAATAGTTCTTGTAAATTTGGTTTGGTTTTTACCTAATCCCTTAATTTCTGTTAATCTGGAAATGTCCTAGTTTTGCCATCATATTTGAGCAAGAGTTTTGCAGGATACATTATTTTTGGTTGGCAATTTTTTTCTTTCAAGATTTTATATATGTCATCCCATTGGCTTCTTGCCTGCATATTTTCCACCCGGTAATCAAAGCTTAGTATTATTGTTTCCCCTTTGTATACGAGTTTTCATTTTTCTCCAGCTACTCTCAGGATTTCTTTCTTTGTCTTTGTTTTCAGCAAGTGTGATTATGATGTGTCTTGCTGATTTTCATTTGGAGTCTATCCTATATGGGGTTGAGCTCCTTGGATGGTTGGCTTTTCATCTTTCATGATATTAGGGAAGTTTTCTGCCACCAAATCTTCAGTGATCCTCTCTGTGTTTTCTGTTTTCTTCCCCCATTCTGGAACTTCAATCACATACAAATTTTTGCTTTCAATTCTATCCCACATCATTCTCGGGGTTTCTTCATTTTTCTTCATTCTTTTCTCTGATTTTTCCTCAAACAAAGTGTTATCCAAGGATTTATCTTCAATTTCACTGATCCTGTCTTGCATTGTTTCGAATTGGCTCCTAAAATCTTCTATTGCACTGTCCATTTTGGAAATCTTGTTGTTTATCTTTTGGATTTCTGATTGCTGTTTTTGTATGGTTGTTAGTTGTTTGTTTATTTTGACATTTTGTTCTGGTATTATTTTCCTGAATTCTTGCGTTGCTTTGACTGTGGTTCCCTGATTTTGTATGTATTTTCCATAATTTTGTCTATTTTTTTCTTATTTTCCTTCATCTCTTGAAGAATTCTCAATATTAGAGTTTTAAATTCCCTATCAGGTAATTCCAGTACCTTTTCTTCTACATGAAAGTCATCTGGTGTTTTATTTTGGTGGCTTTCTGGAGCCATCCTGTACTATTTTATGTTTTGCTATCGTCTGCTGTCTTTAGCACATTCAGGAGTTATTTTCTTCCTTTATTGATTGTAGATTTGTTAGTAACGTCCTTCCTTCTTGTTTTATCTGTTTATGTCTGGGCAGGCAGGTTGGGCGTGCTTTGTTGCTTGCTCATCTGTGGGCACAATACTTCTCATCACCTTGTTCAGGTGTGCAGGGCTGGCCACTCAGCTATGGTGCAGCAAGGCATGTCCAGCAGGGAAGAAGGGGTCAGAATGGGTTGTTTGCAGCACGTAATGAGGCCGACAGGGTGGGTTCAGGGGGCAGTGCATGCCCAGGTCCAGTTGTCTGCTCCAGTGCCACTTGGGCACGGTGCTCGGCATGCAGTGCAGAGATGCCGGGAGAAGGGAGAGGATGTGACATGTGGAGCTAAGTGGATGAGAGAAAGAAGAGAGAAAAACAGAAGCAAATAAATAAATAAATGGTGGCACAGTATGATTCGGCAGGTGGGGACAGGGCACACCAGGTGAGGCCATGTGCCAGTGGCTGTTTAATCAATCGGTGTGGGTCAGCCTGTCAAGAAAGGGTGTGGGCTGCACACGGGGCTATGCAGGCAGGAGAAAGGAAAGGAAAGAAGGAAAAGAGAGAGAAGAAACAAACAAAAAATGCAACAACAACAATAAATAAATATGGTTTCAGCGAGTTGGTTGTTGGGGACAGGGCAGAATTGGGGTGGCAGCAAGCTGATGTCTCTCTTGCCAGGAAGCATGGCACAGCCCATCAGGGAGGGGCAGAGGCAGCGCAGGCCTAGATGAGAGGGAGAAGGGGAAAGATAAAGAAAAATAGAAAGTATGGTGCTGTGGGAGCTGGCCTTGGGGGCAGCACAGACCAGAGGAGGCTGTGTGCCAGAGGCTCTCTAGCCAATCAGTGTGGCATAGCCCATCAAGAAGGGCAGGGATCGCATGTGGGGCTAGGTGGGCTGGATAAAGGAAAGGGGGGGAGGGAGAGAGAGAGAAGAATCAAAAACATATATATTGGCTGTGAGGGAGCCTGCCAGTGGGGTGGTGTGGACCCCGGGAGACCGTGTGTCAGTGGCTATCAAGCCTAGCAGTGTGGCATAGCCCATCAAGAAGGGGTGGGCATGGCAGACAGGGCTAGCTGGGTGGGAGAAAGGAAAAGAAGGAAGGGAGAGAGAAAGAAGAAAGTTTTTTAAAAAAACAAAAAAAATGGCACTGAAGGAGCCAGCTGGTTGGGGCAGGGCAGATCTGGGTGATAGTGAGCTGATGTCTCTCCAGCCATGCGTCGCCCATTGGAAAGTGGCAGAGGCCATGTAGAAGGAAGAAGGTGGGCATGGGAAACCATGTATCCCTGGTTACCAGGTGCCTGTTGGGAGCTCGTGAAGTTGCCTTCCCATAGTCCGTCTGCTGTTCTCGGTGCCTGAGGTCCAAGACGGCAAATTTGTGCTACATTAGCTAGTAGGGGACCTCCACTCTGTAGCTCTCCTCGTTCTCTCTTCTCTGTCAGTTTCTTATTCCATTCTCTGTCAGTTTCTTATTCCGTTCAGTGCTTGATCAAGTTCTTTATTCCTTCACTGACACTTAAGGTTCCAAGACTGATATTTGTCAATCTTTTTACTTAGTTTTTCAGGTCTTTGCTGCAGAAGGATGGCATGGTGCTTCTGTCTATAGTACCATATTTGGTCCACCTCTGTTTGTTCTGTTTTTATAGTCTTCTGATCCCCTCCTCCCCATTAGAATGTAAGCTTCTGGAGAATAAGCACTTTGTTTTGTTCGCTGTTTGGTTCCCAGCACCTAGAATGGTATCTGGCAGGTGATAGACACTTAATATTTATTGAATGAATGAATGAATGACATTAGGACATCATGAAAATTTACTAACAACATAAATACGTATGAATAGAGCCTTCAAACACATTATACTCATATCTGTGTCATTTTCAGTGCTGGCACACCAAGTATGGCCCTTTCAAATCACAGTTGACATCAGTAAAAATAATTTAGGTGCCCATATATGTGACGGTTTCTGATCATGTTCATTCTTTCAACAACTATTATATTTGGACTGATCAGACTTAACTTTCATGTCAAATTCAAGAACCTAAAACATTATTTAAAGCCCTTCTCCCAAGTTGCCTCCTTTTACCATTTCCTTTAACCAAATTAATTGTCCTTACTTCTCTAAACTCCTCTTATTTTTCTTTCCACCATAAAAAAAAAAATTCCCAAATATGATTTGTTCTGTTAAAAAGAAAAGAAAATAAAATGTCAGGAGGAAGGGTGGTTCCTATAACTTGAAAAACACAGATCCAGGGGAGATTCATGAAAAGTGATCCATCTTTTTTCCTCTTAGGAATGTGATTAAAGATAACAGTGAAGACAAACTCGACTACATTCCTTACTTGGATGACCTCGCTGCATGCATAGGCACAAAGCCCAATGTCCCACTTCTGTTTCTCAAGGATCCCAGACTGGCTTGGGAAGTTTTTTTTGGACCATGTACTCCTTACCAGTACCGACTAATGGGTCCTGGAAAATGGAATGGAGCCAGAAATGCCATCCTGACCCAGTGGGACAGGACACTGAAGCCCTTAAAAACTCGGGTTGTTCATGACTCCTCAAAGCCTGCCTCCATGTCACATTATTTAAAAGTTTGGGGGACACTTGTCCTACTTGCCTCTCTTCTACTTCTCTGTAAATCTTCACTTTGTTTTAAACTGTTGTGGGATAAACTGCAGGATAGAATTTCCCCTTACCAAATAAGTATTTGGTGAGGATGAATCTGGTTGGTTACAGGGTTGCACCAAGTCATGTTAATTCTATCTCCAAATACATTCTCCTCTCCTCTCTGTCATAACTGTTGTAATCCAAGTTCAGGGCCAACCATCTCTTCTCTGAATTATCGTATTATCTTCCTCTCTGGTTTCTATATTTCCTTTCTGCCCTAGTTTCCAATCCATTTTCTACTCTACTCCCTAAGTGATTATTCTGAAATGAAAATATGGTCATTGTTTCAATCAAGGTCCTGGTAGGAATCAGATGGTGCTCTCAAATTAGATAATTTATGGAAAATTTAATACAGAGATTATTTAAAAAGGTTTGGCAGGATTTAGGGAAATCGTAGGGATAATAAAACACCACCAGACTGGTAACAATGAGATACCTGATGAGGCAAGGGGAGAAAGCAATTATGAAGGAGAGAGAGAACTGTGTGGAGAAGGCCACCTAACAAGAGCTATGATCTTCAGCTGACTAATGAAGACAAGCCAGGGTGACTCCAAAAGTAAAGCGCTGGGGGAATGAACTGCCTAACTTTACTGTTTTCCCTCCTTCCAATCCCCTTCCATTGGCCAAACCCAACCAAAAGTCACAGGGCAAGGTTGCCAACTGATATGGTTCATTGAGTTCAGCCTCCTAGGGCACTGGGCAGAGCAAAAATGATGAAGAGTGAATATGGAGGGACAAACAGAAGCGATCCAGTGCAGTCATCCTTTCCAGTTTAAAATCCTTCAAAGTTTCTCCTTTAATTAGAGATAATCATCAAAATTCCTTAGCATAGCATAGGAGGCCCTTCATGATCTGGGTCCCTTCACCCAGGTCACCAATATCCTCTCCTGTAGCTTCCCCCCTGCAAACTCTACCATTCAGCAATACCAAACTATTAAGTGTTTCATACCTCCACATGTTTGCCTCTGTCAGGAATGCAATTCCACACCTTGCATGACTAGTGAGCTCCTATCTCTCTTTCAAATGGAGCTTCATTATCTTACTCTGAGAAGCTTTCCCTGATTCTCCAAAGCAGAGCTGATCACCTCTGTGTAACCACTATATCTCTCGTACTGCTCTGTTGTTGCTCTTTTCTTACTACATTAATTTTATCCATCTCCTCGTAAATTGTGAGTTCCTTAGAGAACCATGTCCTACTCATCTAAAACACTGCCTGATACAAAGTATTGTTAAATAAATACTTGATGAATGAACAGTAGCTTCATTGTATTCCTTGTCTGTCCTCTTCTGGCAACATGATAAATTAGCTCAGATCACCTGAGCTGTGTAAATGAAAAAGGACAGGTCAATAATAGCCAATTTTATAAGTAAAGGATAAGTCATGTGGAAATTACAGGCAATATAAGTACACATTAACTGGGAACTCAGCGTACCAGTTAAGAGCATCAGAACAACCCCAGCCCTGCCACTAGCTCTGTGGCTGTGGCCAACTTATATAACTTCTCTAAGTCCTCATCTGAAAAATGGTGGTAATAATAGTACCTATCTTGAAGTGAACATTGAGATAATGCAAGGTGTGTGGTACACAGTAAATTAACTATTAATAACTGCAGAGACTAGGGACACTTTCTATTCTCTGAATTAAAGGACTTGAAGACTGTTGCCTGGCTGTGTTCCCTGCTGCCTAATCAGAAAGCATGACCTTTGTCTTGCATGGATTCTCTGGTAGCACCAAGTAAGCTCACTCTTTTGTCCTTGTGTCCCTGTCTTAGTTACCAGCTTCTGCTATAAAAAAACACCACAAGCAGCTGTCTTTAAAGAATAGGAATGTATTGTCTTGTGGTTTGGGAGTCTAGAAGTCCAAATCAGGGCATCAGTTCTATGGCAGTGTCCTTCCTCATTAGTAGCTCCGGGCATTTTTGGTGTTCCTTCACTTGTAGCGGGCTCTTCATACGGTGTCTGTCTTTCCCTGTGTGTGTTCTGCTCTTTTTATAAGGTGCCACTCACAAGGGACTGGGTTTAGGAACCACCCTACTCTTGTATGATTTCATTAACGTAACAAAAGAAGAGAAAACCCCTATTTCCAAGCAGGGTCATATTAACAGGTACGGGGTTAGGATTACAACATAATTTTGGGGGAACATAATTCAAGTGCCTCTCCAGATATGATTAGTAGATGTGTCTGGGTTTTTACTGACATCAGTCCCCTAGTAAAAGGGGCACCTAATTCCAGATCTTCAAAACTAACTAAAACTGACCAACAGAAGCAACATGTTTAAGCTATCTATATTCCCAAGTTCTTGAAGGTGAAATTAGAACTGAAATGTCTTCAGCTCATCATAACTTAGGTCTATAATGCTGCTAGTTTTCCTATGTACTATTTTTTTTAAGAGAAGACAGAGATTTGGAGAAGTTAAGTAATCTGCCCTGGTTTATACAACAGGTAAGACACAGAACAGGGATTTGATCCCAAACACATGTGACCCTAAATTCCAGGCTCCCTCACTAGTTGCCATGGCTGACAACTCCTCCATTCACTCCCTTCAACCTCAAGTTGCTTATTGATGATGCTCCAACCTAGACACAGCCTCCTCCAGAAAGCCTTGATCTCCCTGCTCACTTCTCTTCTGTGCTGCGTCTACACCTTGAATGTTGTTGTTGTGTGCCTTTGAGTTGATTCCGACTCATAGCAACCCCATATGACAGAGTAGAACTGCCCCATAGGGTTTCCTAGGCAGTAATATACATATTTTTTTTTATTGAACTTTAGATGAAGGTTTACAGAACAAACTAGCTTCTCATTAAACAGTTAGTACATATATTCTTTTATGACATTAGTTAACAATCCCATGACATGTCAGTATTCTCCCTTCTCGACCTTAGGTTCCCTATTACCAGCTTTCCTGAACCCTCCTGAATTCTAGTCCTTGCCCCTGGGCTGGTGTGTCTCTTTAGTATCATTTTGTCTATGGGTCTATCTAATCTTTGGCTAAAATGTGAACCTCTGGAGTGACTAAAAGGGTGTCCAGGGGCAATACTCTCAGAGTTTCTCCAGTCTCCATCAGGCCAGTAAGCCTGGTCTTTTTTTTTTTTTTCAATTTGATCTCACATAGATAATTCTTTTTGTTTGTTTTTTTGTTTTTGTTTTTTGGACCTTAGATGAAGGTTTGCAGAACAAATAGTTTAAACAGTTAGTACACATATTGCCCTATGACAATGGTTAACAACCCCACGACATGTCAACACTGTCCCTTCTCAAACTTGGGTTCCCTATCACCAGCTTTCCTGTCCCCTCCTGCCTTCTAGTCCTTGTCCCTGGACTGCTGTGCCTCATTAGTCCTGTTTTGTTTTATGAGGCTGTCCAATCCCCGGCTGAATGGTTAACTTCGGGAGTGACTTCACCACTGACCTAAAAGGGTGTCCAGGGGCCACTCTCGGGGTTTCTCCAGTCTGTCAGGCCAGTAAATCTGGTCTTTTATTTCTGAGTTAGAATTTTGTTCTACATCCTTTTCCAGCTCTGTCCAAGACCTTCTATTGTGATCCCAGTCAGAGCAGTCAGTGGTGGTAGCCAGGCACCATCTAGCTGTACTGGACTCAGTCTGGTGGAGGCCTTTGGACTAATCTTTTCCTTGTGTCTTGTTCTCTTCACTCTCACTTGCTCCCAAAGGGGTGAGACCAGTGGAGTATCTTAGACTGCTGCTTACAGGCTTTTAAGACCCCAGACACTACTCACCGAGGTAGAATGTAGAACATTGTCTTTACAAACTGTGTTATGCCAATTGAACTAGATGTTCCCTGAGACCATGGTCACCACAGCCCTCTGCCCAGCAATTCAGTCCCTCAGGGAGTTTGGATGTATCTATGGAGCTTCCATGACGTTTCTTTGTACAAGTTGTGCTGGCTTCCCCAGTACTGTGTACTGTCTTACCCTTCACCAAAGTTACCACTTATCTATTGTCTATTTAGTGTCCCCCCACACCCCTCCCATCCTTCATAACCAACAAAGATTGTTTCTTTTTGTGTGTAAACTTTTACATGAGATTTTACAGTAGAGGTCTCATACATTATCTGTCCTTTTGTGATTGACTTATTTCACTCAGCATAATGTTCTCCAGTTTCATCCATGTTATGAGATGCTTCACAGATTCATCATTGTTCTTTATCATTGCATAATTCTCTATTGTTGGTCTTTTTTTTTTTTTTTTGGAGTAAGAATTTTGTTCTACATTTTTCTCCAGCTCTGTCCAGAACCCTGTATTGTGATTTCTGTTGGAGCAGTCAGTGGTGGTAGCCGGGCACCATCTAGTTGTACTAGACTCAGTCTGGTGGAGGCCATAGTAGTTGTGGTCTGTTAATCCTTTGGACTAATCTTTCCCTTGTGTCTTTAGTTTTCTTCATTTTCCCTTGTTTCTGAAGGAGTGAGACCAGTGGAGTATCTTAGATGGCTGCTCACAGACTTTTAAGACCCAGACACTACTCCCTAAAGTAGAATGTAGAACATTTTCTTTATAAAACATGTTATGCCAACTGAGCTAGATGTTCCTGGAGACTATGGTAGCCACAGCCCTCAGCCCAGTAATTTGATCCCTAAACAGATTTGTCCATGGAGCTTCCATGACCTTACCGTGAACAAGTTGTGCTGGCTTCCCCAGTATTGTGTACTGTCATAACTTTCACCAAAGTTACAACTTAATGTTTTTCCACCTCCACCCCTCCCCTCCCTCCTAATCATCAAAGATTGTACCCTTTTATGTGTAAACCTTTTCATGAGTTTTTATAGTAGTGGTCTCATATAATATTTGTCCTTTTGTGATTCACTTATTTCACTCAGCATAATGCCCTCTAGATCCATCCATGTTGTGAGATGCTTCGCAGAGTCATCACCGTTCTTTATCATTGCATAGTATTCCATTGTGTGTATCTACCATAGTTTATCCATTCATATGCTGATGGGCATCTAGATTGTTTCCATCTTTTTGCTATCGTGAACAATGCTGCAATGAACATGGATGCGCCTATGTCTTTTCGTGTGATAGTTCTTATTTCTCTAGGATATATTCCTAGGAGTGGGATTGCTGGATCATATGATATTTCTACTTCTAGCTTTCTAAGGAAGTGCCATATTGTTTTCCAAAATGGTTGTATCATTTTGCATTCTCAACAGCAGTACATAAGAGTTCCAATCTCCCCGCAGCCTCTCCAACATTTGTCATTTTCTGTTTTTTTTATTTGTGCCAGTAATGCCAGGGTGAGATGGTATCTCATTGTGGTTTTGATTTGCATTTCTCTAATGGCCAGTGATCGCCAGCATTTCCTCATGTATCTGTTAGCCGCTTGAATGTCTTCTTTTGTGAAGTGTCTGTTCATTTCCTTTGCCCATTTTTTAATTGGATTATTTGTCTTTTTATTCTAGAGATGTTGGATTTTCCTGTTGATTTTAGAGATTAGACCTTTGTCGGATTTGTCATAGCCAAAATTTTTTTCCCAGTTTTTTGGTTCTCTTTTTACTCTTTTGGTGAAGTCTTTTGGTGAGCATAAGTGTTTAAGTTTTAGAAGATCCCAGTAATCTAGCTTGTCTTCAGGAGTTTGTATGTTGTTGGTTTTGGTTTGTTTCCTGCTAATGCCGTGTATCAGGGTCTCTAGCATTAATCCTATTTTTTCTTATATGATCTTTATAGTTTTTGGTTTTATATTTAGGTCCTTGATCCATTTTGAATTAGTTTTTGTGTATGGTGTGAGGTATGGGTCCTGTTTCATTTTTTTGGCAGATGAACATCAAATTTTGCCAGCACCATTTGTTGAAAAGACTGTCTTTTCCGCATTTGATGGACTTTAGGTCCCTGTCGAAGATCAGGTGACTGTAGATGGATGGATTTACATCTGGGTTCTCGATTGTGTTCCATTGGTCAATGTATCTGTCGTTGTACCAGCACCAGGCTGTTTTGACTAGCATAGCTGTATAACAGGTTCTGAGGTCAGGTAGTGCAAAGCTTCCTACTTTATTCTTCTTCTTCAGTAATGCTTTACTTATCCGAGTCCTGTTCCATTTCCATATAAAGTTAATGATTATTTTTTCTATCTCTTTAAAGAATGACATTGGTATTTGGATGGAGATGGCATTGTATTTGTAGAGTGCTTTGGGTAGAATTGTCATTTTCTTAATGTTGAGGCTACCTATCCATGAGCATGGTATGTTTCTCCATTTATGTAGATCTCTTTTGGTTTCTTGCAGTAGTTTTTTGCAGTTTTCTTCATATAGGTTTTTACATCCCAGTTAGACTTATTCCTAAGTGTTTTATTTAGGGGAGGGGGTCTATACAAATGGTATTGCTTTTCTGATTTCCTTTTCATAGTTTTTTTTTTTAATTGGTGTTTATGAATCTAACTGATTTTTGTATGTTTATCTTGTATCCTGCTACTCTGCTGAATTTTTCTATTAGTTTCGGTAGTTTTCTCATGGAGTCTTTTGGGTTTTCTATATATAGTATCATATCATCTGCAAATAGGGACAGTTTTACTTCTTCATTACCAATTCAGATGCCCTTTATTTCTTTTTCTTGCCTTATTGCTTTAGCTAGGACTTCCAGCACCATGTTAAATGGGAGTGGTAATAAAGGACATCCTTGTTGTGTTCCTGTTCTCAAGGGGAATGTTTTCAGCTTCTCTCCATTAAGAATTATGTTGGCTGTTGGTTTTGTATAGATGCCTTTTATTATGTTGAGGAATTTCCTTTCTACTCCTATTTTATTGAGAGTTTTCATCAGGAATTGGTGTTGGACTTTGTCAAATGCCTTTTCTGCATCAATGAGATGATCATGTGGTTCTTTTATTTATGTGGTGGATTATGTTGATTGATTTTCTAATGTTGAACCATCCTTGCATACCTGGTATGAATCCTATTTGGTCTTGGCGTATTATTTTTTGATATGATGCTGAATTCTATTGGCTAGAATTTTGTTGAGAATTTTTGCATCTATATTCATGA